CCCCGCCGCGCTCCGAGCCCAGCCCGCGGGCGCCGCTGCCCCCCGAGCCAGAGGGGGCTCCCGCGCGTGTCGCTGCTCCCCCCGGGGCGCCCCGCCTGGCAGGCAGCGGCGAGCAAGCCCGGCCTCCTCCTTCTCTGGGCATGTGGGGGCAGCTCGCTGAGCATCAGGACCTGCGGCTCCTCTTTATTTCACCCGCAACCCTCTCCCCAGCTTTAGCTGTGCTCTGTGGAGGACCCTACAGCGCTTCACAGGAGAAACCAAACCAAAGCAGGGCCTCCCAAGGAGCTGGGGAGAGGCAGGTCATCAATCCACAGGCTTTTTGCGTGGCCTTTCGTGGCTTTTCCGTAAAGGAATGGGGGGGCCTCAGGTATCTGTTGAGCATCCCTCCCGCAGGTCCTCAGCTGTTAATCCCGGGTGCAGGTTGTGGACAGTTCCTTGCAGATATTGGAAGTGGGCAACCAGCAGCGCACCAGTATCCCGCCTCATGTGGCACTGCTGCTTCCCTCTGAGTGGATAACTTCATAAATAAGCACCAACAGTAAGACACTGGCACCGTGTATCCGAGTGTCCAATTTGACGCCTGGGCTGTGGACTGTGTAATGGAGATGCTCCGCAGGGTGCAAGGGCTAAGGGCATGCAGGGCACAGACCACTTTGGGCAGTTCAGATCCAAAGGGTTTTGTTGTGGTTGTTCATGAAAAAGCTTCTTTATGAAAATAGTCGTTCAAAGAGAGCCCCGTCCAAGAGAATCTGTCCAAGTAGTTGAATAAGTATTTCCTTAGATCTGTTATGTTAGTTTTACAGCTGAAGAAATAAGAGGAAGACAAAGGTTAAGCGACTTGCCCCCAATTCACACAGGAAATCTGTGGCAGCATCACAAATCAGACTCAAGGGTCCTGGCTCTTAGCCCCCGATTTAGCTAGAGCTTGTCATTGTGTATATGATATAAGAGAGTTGTTAAACTGGAGAAATACGTTATACCGCAAAGAAAGCAGGACACATCACTACAAATCTGTTGGCATGTATTTTTCCAATTTCAAACATTTTAACTATTCTCTAGCCTCTAAATTACACGTAGCAGATTTTCACTTGGAGTCTGCCTTTGTATGCACTAGGAAAAGGTAATGTCCATACCTGTAACAGCACAGAAGTTCAGCATGCAAAACCAGTCTATACCTGTAACAAAACAGAAGTTTGGCGCACAGATGGGTTTAATAAGAGCAGAATCTGGTCCAAGATTTATCCCCCCCAAAAAAGAGCGAATGTGTGTTCTGTTCACTACTGATCTGAACTACAGCGCTTACAGAAAACCACGTTAACTTAGATCAGTTCTGCTTCAGGCTTTTTGAATGTGTGCATCTAGCCTAAAAATCCTGGAGTAGACAAGGCAGGTTGTTTTAATGGAGAGCCTGGGGTTTATTTCAACTAATTAACATGCATTAAAATTAGAAGTGCTTCGTCAGCTCTAGGATTTTAACATGCATTAGCCAACATTTTGTTTTCTAAGTGTAGGCGATCTGTACTGTTCTCTACTGAAAGGTTGCAGTGTTAAAACAAACGGGGAATATGCCTCCTATTTTACCATAAATCCATGGTATTTCTGTTGGTATTTGTAATGACTGAGGCCAAAGTAGGTACTTGCTTTTTTTGGAGTAGAGAAGCCTCTCAAAGACAACGAGCCATTTCTTCCACTAGAGGGGTACTACTCTTCATGAACACCCTCAGGGAGGAAATTGAGGTAAGGAATTTCAGGAAGGAAAAATGGCTGAGTAAAGACATGAGTATAGAAATGAACAGTCTTTATAACAAACCAAGGGCTAAGTTGAATGCCGTCTGATACAAGAAACTGGTCCTAAAGGGAGATTGGAAGCGTGCTGAGTGGAATCCTTATTATATAGTTTTCTTAAGCAAAGACATACTAGTCACTTCAGATTAAATGACATAAGTCATTTTGAATTGAGAACCATGCTAGATAATGTTTTTTAATTGGAAACTGTTGGAGTAACTAGCGTCTGTGTTTTGGGGTGCTGGAAGAATTGAGTTTTCAGCAGTAATGATGACGTCTTGCCATTGTTTTAAGTATTCCTTTTTATTAAGCAGATCTAAAAGCGGCATTTGTGATTGTGCAGTATCCTGCTTTTGTTCCCATTATCTTCTGGGTTGATGTGTTATACGGGGAGTTCCAGTCTAGGCTGGCCCGCTGTTCTATATCTTGTATCTAAAATAATAGGTTGTAGCGTGATGTGGAGTATACCGACGGATACTTACCTTAAAATATCTTCATGCATAAATACTGGTGTTAACCAAAATATGCCTCATTGTTTATTTAAGAACACAGTCTCCTGCATATGGTAGGTAGATGGAGACTCGCAATTGTTTACCCTTGTGAGAACTCCTTAAAGTCCAAATCATGTTTGACCTGGACTCCCATTAAACTTCAGGAAGGGTTTTATTTGTGTAAAGTTAACTGACTTGGTCTCTAATTGTCAGGTACCGTTAGGCCAGAAACCTTTTGCCAGAGTATTTATTTAAAAGTCCTTCCTATTAAATCCTTGCTTCTCTGTGGAGCAGGGAAGGCATTTGACTTTCCAGATCTACGGAGAGTTGTGTGCACTCTTTTTGTTGTATAGATGTTGACAGTTACAGTCATTTGCTTCTAGATCTGGTGAAGTCATTCAGTGAGGGAAGTTCTTTCAGCTGTCTTGGCACACAGGATAATCCCGTGTCCATTATTAGAGTGGTTGAGCTTTCACCAAAGCTGACTTGTAGTAGCAGCCTGGCTCAGACAGCAGGGACTTGAGCTTCATTTAGCACTGTCACGTTCTCCCCTTCACTTTGTAGAAATCTAGATTTGCGGATTCACAGAAGTTTAGGGCTGGAGGGGACCTTGTGAGATCATTGGGTCCAGGGCCCCTTCTCTGGGCAGGATGGAAGTTCCTTTGTTGAGACCATAGGACTGTATTGCTGCCCTGCTTTTTAGATCATATAATGCCCCCTGAATACAATGGGACATGAGTAATAATGTGTTCGCAGTGTAGTACTGTATAAACAATTTGCAGTAACTGTCAGCACATCCTCATTTTTACCTGAACACACATTTAGTGATTAAAGCAGAAGTCTGGGCTGTGATCTACTTTGAAAATTGATTTGAAAATCTAGCTGTTTTAAAGAACAATAGGCAGCCACAAATAACTGCAGGCTGTATTTAGATGGCTGTGTAAATTTTAAAGACTTTGTCAGGTTTGTAACCTAGTCTATTTAAAAAAAAAATAAAATAAAATAAATAGTTCCAGAGCCTACACCCGAGTCCCCCTGCCAAATTTTATGGTTTTTCAATTGCAGTTTCCAATTTTAAAATGTTTTTCTCTCAGTTGGTACAAAACCCACCCAGACAACAAGGGAAACTGAGTCAGACCCCAACTCTGCAAAGACGTGTACATCTTCAGACTTGGGGTTATCTAGTAATTTTAACAGGAATTCTCACAATGTGTAAAGTTAAACACCTGTGTACATTTTTGTGGCATCAGGGCCTCAGTGTCTAAGCAGGGGAAATGGTGAATGTGGCAATACATAAAGCGCTCCTAAATCCACACACAAATAGTGAAAAAAACTTATAATTTAATTATTCTCAATCTTAGGTGTCCCTTATCACAGCAGAAGATAAAAACTTTCAGAATGAAATGTATTAACTTTGAAATCATGTTTCCGGTTTTTTCCCTGCACTGCATGGCAGATTGTTATAACTGAAATGAATTAGAGAAAAATACATTTTTCTCTTTTACCACATGCCCTTCTATTTCTTCTGCAGTATTCAGAGTTCCTTTTAAAGGGCTTCCCCCCTCAAACTCGTAAGTAGTTTGGGGCTGGGGGGAATATCTATAACCACCTTCTTACTGAACTGTTGACTAAATAGGCTTTTCTTACAAGCAGCCTGGGCAAGATCAGCAACAGGTATGTACACAGGCTTCAGTGGGCCTGCTTATGCTTACTGAGGATCTATTATCCTCCCAAATCCTTTCATAATTGATCATGTTAATTTCTGCTGTGAATAGAGAAGGAAACCAATTTGTTTGGTGTTCTGTCAAGTTTCTAATCTCCCCCTCTCCTTGAAGGTTTTTGGAAAGGTTGCTATCCAGCTGTGAGGAGTCTCTTCAAGCTAATGATCTCCAGAATACATTATAGACTACTTTTCATCCTACTCACAGCACAGCTACTACCCTGGTGGCAGTCCTCTAATGATATGTGAATGACTGCAACAGATCAGGGTTATGTTTATCTGTTACTTCTACTGAAGCTGTCAGCTGCAGTTGATGCTATTGATCATAAAATTCTGTTTAAAAAGCTTGTTTTTTTTTATAATAGTTTATTTGGTTCTTCACCCGCCTGGTTCAGATCTCATATTTCCTGATCCTGACAGTTTTATCACTAGTGGCCCTTATGCTTCTAACGTATCTCAAATTGCCAGTGCCAATTGCCCATGGAGTCCAACAGGGCTTCATTTTATTTAGTATTCATATGCTTCCTTTTGGGCAGAATTCATTTCTGCTCAAGGGCTTTAGTGTTACATGTAAATTGACAGCAGCGAGATCTATTTGTCAAGCAGACAGTGTGTCACTTTCAAACCCCTGCTGGTTCAGAGCCAGCAGGGGCCATGGAGCAGGGCACACATGTGTATCAGTGATAGTGTAACAAACCCCATATTTGATGTTAT